TTTTTTTTTTTTAAGGTTAAACTGTGTATCTCCTATTTTGAACTTCACACTCACTGATGTACCACAACTATGACAATGCTTTTTTTTTCCCAATGCTGACTGGACATGTGGATAGGTGGTCTATCCTTTTATCGGCGAGCTCTTGTGTGTAATCCCAGATGCCATCTACTACAGACGAGCGGGGTACCCCTTAAAGAAGGTAGGAGAGGGGGGTCCCTTTTTTTTTTCACCAGTCCCGTCAATTTGGGTGCCTTTGTTAGCCATCCTCCATATCAACCACCTACTCAGAACTGCCTTCTTTTTTCCTATCCTTTTTTTTTAACTGCCTTTTTCTTCTGAGGGCCCCCCTCTTGTCTTCTCCGTGGTCTTCTCCGCTTCTTCCTCTTCTTTCGTCTTCTTCCTCCTTCTCTGCCCCATTGTCGTCCTCCTCTCCTTTGCTTTCTCTTCCTCCTCCCCCTCCCCCTCGTCCCCTTCCTCCTTCATGCCGTCCTCCTCAGGGATTTTTACCTGTACCGCATGCTGTTTTGCCCCTCTTCTTTTTCTCGTTCCTCCCCCCCCTCCTCCTCCTCCTCCTCCTCCTTCTCTGCTCCTCTGTCATCTTCCTCTCCTTCGATTCCTGCTCCTTCTGTCTCTCCTCCTCAGGGGTTCTTTCCTGTACCTCCTCTTTTCCCTCTTCTTCTTCTTCTTGTTCCTCCTCCTCCTCCTCCTCCTCCTCCTCCTCCCTCCGCCTCTTCCTGTGCTGCAGGTGTGTAGCCTCTAAAAATTACCATCTCGAGCAGGATTTGGACTCGTGATCTGTTCATAACTGTTCATAAACATAGCATTCAGCCTTCTGTTTCTTTGGGCATACTCAGACTAGGGCTTCCTGGGATGTATCTGATCAGAATTACGGCATGATTCAGGCCAGAAAGTGCAGTTGGAGTATGGCCTGCTGCTTTTGCCACCTTTGTCGTAGCTACTCCACTTGACAGCGGAGAGGTTTGGGAAAATTTGTTCCGCCCCGCCATTTCATTGCGGAAACAACAAAATGAAGCGGTCTCGCTTGACAAAATGATGAGCGCTCTTGCTCGACAAAATGATGAGCGCTCTCGCTGGTCGATGACAAACACAATTTGCAAATAATCTTTTAAGTTTTAAAGAAATAATAAAATGGCACAGCAACTCTTGCAAAAATGATCAACCTTGTCATTCATTCCCCCTCTGCCTGTTTCCCATGCTCTAGAGACAGAAACCCTAGACACACTCTCGGGCTCTGTGTGTGTGTGTGGGTGTGGGTGTGGGTGTGTGTGTGTAGGTGTGTGTGTGTGTGTTGTGTGTGTGTGTTGTGTGCTGTGTTGTGTGTGGTGTTGTGTGTGGTGTGTGTGTGTGTGTGTGTGTGTTGTGTTGTGTGTGTTGTGTGCTGTGGGTGTGGGTGTTGTGGGTGTGGGTGTGTGGGCCTTGCTGCACCACTCACCAGAGTGTGCAAGACGAAAATGAATCTCCTGCTAGAACATGGAAAGATACACCACCATAATTATTGTCTTTGATTTATTCGGTAAACGTAACTCCGCAAAAGATGGGTAACCATGACAGACTGTGCCGATTTGCGTCAGCTGATCAGGAGTTGTGGGTTCATCGGACTTTCACCGGCTCATCTGGAGGTTGAACCTGGACAGACAGTCTTCCCAGGATGCATGTGACTGATGGATAAGGACTCACCCCGTTGCCCAGAGTTTGCCCTACCAAGAGAGAGAGAGAGAGAGAGAGAGAGAGAGAGAGAGAGAGAGAGAGAGAGAGAGAGAGAGAGGTGGGAGTTTGATTGGTTGTGTTGGTGTGTATAATCAGTGAGGCGTGCAGTGACGAGGAGCGTTCGGACGATCTGCGTCTGCATCGGCTTTTCCTTTGTGGTTTGTTATTTGGAATTTCAAATTTGCCAATTTGTGTGATGCCGTCTTTGCGTCGACTGACTGTGACATTGCGCAGTTCTCTTTCAGGGGGAAAAAAAAAGTTACAATGAGCTTCTGATGCTGTGTGTGTGTGGAGTGTTTGTCTGTTTAACTTTGAATGCGCTTTGACGGGACTGACAAATAAACTCGTGGATTGTGTTGTTTGCTTTTGTGTTTTTGATAATTTCTCAGATCGTCGAGTATGCGACGAACGGCGACTTCACTGCGATGATTGTCATCCATGAGAACCGGAATAGGATTAGTATCCTCCTCTACGTAGTCTGTTTTGATGTTTGTCCTTTTTGTTTGTTTGTCATTTTGTCATTTTGTTTTGTCGAGATTAAAAAGAAAAAAGGAAAGGAACGAAAAGGGAAAAAATAAAATAAAAAATCTGGTGAGAAAAAAAGAAAAAAAGTATCGCGTGTCGCTTTCTTCCCCCTTTATATATAAGCCAAACGGAGCTTCCTGGTAAATATGTATATATTGTTGTCCTCTTCTCCCTCTCTGCCTACGGTTCACCGGGCAAAACTCCGACCAAACAGTTTGTCACAGCCCCTCGTTTGTTGTCCTCTTCTCCCTTCTCCCTCCCTCTCTGCCTACGGTTTGCCCGGCAGCTCTGTTTGACTAAATATATTTTGTTTTCTTTTTTCTTTTTTCTTTTTTCTTTTTTCTTTTTCTTTTATCGGAAATTTCTTCCTGATGTGGAATGGCATCTGTATATTGCGGGCCCTCTGTTGTGGTTCCGTTTCTTTTACTCGTTATTATATTTGGATTTGGATTTGGATTTGGATTGTGACTCTGTATCTGTGTTGGTAGTGTTGAAAGCTTTATCTGTATCTGTCGTAAAAGTGAGGTTTGGTTTCCTCCTCTCCTTTTCTTTACCTCTTTTTTGCCTTTTGGCTGCGTGGAAGTGGGTCCTTGTGACACACGGGGATGGGGGCAGCCGGCCCTCAACTCGTCATCCACGTGGCTGGCCTTGTACGGAAGAGGCGATGAACAGGTGGAGCTTTCCAACCTTACTTCTTTCCTTTTTCTGTTTTGCTTTTTTTCGCCTTTGCTCTCCGATACACAGTGTGAATATCATACTTGCAAGCGGACGCCGTCCGGGCGGTTTCGCACGTGCGGCAGACGGCCGGACCGGACCCGTGCGGTGCACGAATGTGCGCCCGACGACCAGTTACGCCCCACCCCCCCCCGGAAAAAAAAAAAAACCGCCCCCGTCCGATCCGGTCCGGGTCCGTCCGGTCCGGGGGGAGGGTGCCGCACGCGGCAAAGCGGACCGGACCGGACGGTCGTCTGGTCCGTCTGCTTGCAAGTATGTTGTGACGATATATACTCTGATATTCATGTGACGATATATATATGGATACATATAATATTATATCGTCAAACAGAACTGCCCTGTAAACCGTAGGCAGAGAGGGAGAAGAGGACAATAAACGAGGGGCTGTGACAAACTGTTTCATTGGACTTTCACCTCCCTACTCATCAGGAGGCTGAACCCTCAACAGTCTGTGGAAAAAATCCCTAACGGATTACACTGTAAGTGATCATCCACCTTAACCCCGGTTGTGGTGAGGCATGAACGACTGCCCGACAATATATATGTAAAGGTCCAGGGTGTAGTAGAGGGTGGCGGGCAGGCCTCAGGAGGTCCCTGTAGTACTCATCCATTGGTGGGGATGCAGAAGTGGGGTATACATGGCTTTTTAAGGGGGCGTAAAAGGGTTTGAAGGGGGGTGCCTTGCTTCGAAAAAAAAAAAAAAAAACTCTTTTTCTGCTCTGAGGTGACCCTCAGCCAATCAATAGCTGTGTTCATCGCAACACTACAAAACATTTTGTTTTTTTTACCGAAATATTTTTTTTTGTTTTTTTGAAAAATTTTCAAAGTTGTTTTCTTTTTAATATCGTCTTCAACCCCCGAAAACCACGCCCAGGTGTTGTGTACGAATACAACAGTACAATTCGTTTGTAACGCCCGTGTGTTATAATCAGTACATTGGCAGCATCTTTGGTGGTTCCCCCGCGCCCCGCCCCTCCCTTAAAAAAAAAAGAGAGCAAAATCAAAAAATTCTGTAATGAAAATGTGTTGTCTATAAATTTGGGAAATGATGCAGCCAACTTTTGGCTGAGGGTCATTTCAGATTTCCTTATAAATTTGGAAATGAAAAAAAGAAAACAAAAAATCACACCAGAAACATACCGGTTCGAAGTCACAAGACTCAGAACCCCTTTTCAACCCCCTTTTAAAAAATAAAACCCATGTATAGTATGTATACCCACCACTCTACGAGGCGCTCTGCCGGTGCCAAATTCAAATATAAGGCCCGGACGTTATATTCGAAGGGGTGTTATATTCCGTAAAAAGTGAGTAAAAACAAAAATCTGATTTTTTT